CGAGTGCGGCCCTTCTCAAAGAGGCACAGTGGGGAACTGAACTCCCAACTTCTGGCTCCACACCAGAAACCTAAACCACTGAGCTGTAATCATCCCTACAAGAAAAAAAATGTTGTGATTTCTGACATGTCTCACTTACATTCCAATGTTAATGGAGTATGCTCACGCATTGTCTTATTAGTTTTGGAGGCTGTGGACCAAAGGAGAGGTTAGGCTTCTGTTGTAAGCTAGTTCTCTGCATTCTAGCTTCCTGGCTGCAGTATCTTTCTAGAACCCGGCCCTGCATGACGTTGGCAGGGGGTGAACTTCGATGGTTGTCAAGGTCCCTTCCGTAAGCATACTTACAAGAAAAAAAATCTTGTGATTTCTGACATGTCTCACTTAAATTCCAATGTTAATGGAGTGTGCTCACACATTGTCTTATTAGCTTTGGAGGCTGTGGACCAAAGGAGAGGTTAGGTTTCTGCTGTAAGCTAGTTCTCTGCACTCTAGCTTCCCGGCTGCAGTGTCTTTCTAGAACTCGGCCCTGCATGACATTGGCAGGGGCTGAACTTCGATGGTTGTCAAGGTCCCTTCAAGCTCTATGATTCTGTGAAAGATGACTATGCAAAAAAAGACTTGGGTGTTTGTGTGGGAAAAGATAAAGGCCATCTTGGTTCTGTTGCTCATGTATGAAGATGTTTTGTAGAACTGAACCTGGGAGAGCTATTTGCAGAATTGCTTCTGTAACTTGCCAGCCATGATAGGCCAGTTAAACTGTTCTGTGTACTAATAAATTTTCCTCAGTTTGATCTAGGACTGGCCCTACCATTAGGCAGTTTCAGTATCATAAAAGCACAGCAAAATGTTAGTTACATTGTTTGGTATTACAGTGGTGCCTCGCTTAGCGACGTTAATCCGTTCCGGAAAAAACGTTGCTAAGTGAAAACATCGCTAAGCGAAATTTAAAAGCCCATAGAAACGCATTAAAACGCGATTAATGCATTCCTGTGGGCTTAAAACCTCACCTTTAAGCGAAAACCCTCCATAGCGCCACCATTTTCGCTGCCTCTTAAGTGAGGAAAAACAGCGGGCAGCTGTTTTCCTGACAGCCATTTTGAAACTGCTGATCAGCTGTTAAAAAAGGGTCGCTTTGCCATGATCGCTTCCCCATGATCATCGCAAAGCGAAAAAACCCCATAGGGACCATCACAAAGCGATCGCTCAACGGAGCGATCGCTATGTGAGGCACCACTGTATCTTATTCCAGCAGGGAAGTAGGGGGAAGAGAAGCTTGTGGGATTTTCTTCCTCAAGTGCCAGAATAATATGACTGCCTTCAGGTACTGGACCCCTTGACCCAGTTCAGTGCTGGTTTGCCTTAGGTGGCAACATGCCCTGACCTGTCCCACTTGCCCTTGCAGGGGATGGCTGGGTTGTTAAGACCATGGACACCTGATGAGAGGGAGCTTCCATCTTTTTGGAGATGATGTCTATCCGACTTCCAAAAGGACGTGATCCTTACTTGGGGAATTTTTCTGCAGGCATTGCAGCCGCCTCCTTTCCATGGAAATGGGACGGTAAAGTTCCCTAAAACTTGATCTGTATCCCTGTCTTCACAAACTCATATCTGTACATGACCACTGGGTAGAGCAAGAAACTGGCCACTAGATCTCAGGAGCCTAAGAAGCTGCCTTAAACTGAATCTGAGCATTGGTTCATCTAGTCCAGTATTGTCAACTCTGCCTGGCGGCAGCTCTCCAAAGTAACACCTGAAGGTCCCTCATATTTCTAAATGGCTTGCCATCCAAGTACACATCAGCTTCCAAAATCAGGTGAGATGGGGTGTGTTCCAGCTTGTATAGTGGAATACACTTCTGTTCACAACCTGTCACACTGTGAGCATGCAAGACTTATCTTGCAGGCTCTTGGGCACAAGCATGAGCATGGCATCCGAGGGACAAGCATAGCATGGACGGCCACACCAGTTGCTTGGTCACAGAGAGAAAGTTGTGGGGGTTCCCTTCCTTCCCCCCCTTCTTTCCCCAGTCCTGTTTTGTGCAGCTGTACTGAATACAGGTTATGACAGCATTTTATCCAGTACTGTTGCTGATCTCTTTATTGTTGCCTCAAACAGCATGGTTGTTTTTTATGGAGCAGAGCATATTCTCCCGGATCCCCCTGCTTAAGGCAGAAGGGCTGTTTGTCTAACCACACAGTGAGCAAACGCAAACTGGAAGGAGTCAGCTGAGTGTTTGTTACTGAAAAATAGATATTTGGAGGTCAGTCAGCTTATGAAATGACTCACACTATGAGCAGGCTTTTCGTTTTGCTCATTAAATTCCACCAGGGCTTGTAAGGTGTGGGGAAAGGAAAATAAGTGCAGCACAGCATTGAGATGACTCATGCTATGAATGACAGGCCCTAATAGAACCCTTGGGCTCTAAAATGTTATTCACTGGAAGGCAAGCGCATAAATTTTGCCTGCTACTTTGTGTACTAATCCCTCCCCTTTCTCATTTTCTTTAACAGAAAACTTGATAAGTGGACATGGCCAAGGCCAAAGAATTTATTTGCATGTAGATACGGGAGGGTGCAGCCAAGGAAGACCAGGGTGAAGGATAAGAAAAGCAGAATGTGTGCTCAGATAAGGCTGACAAAACGGTCAGGAGAGGGACCTCTTCCTCTCTGTTGGATGCTACTGTATCTTTTAGAGAACACGCTAGGAAGACATGCATGGAAAGTAAATAGTTGGTCACAGACTGGCTGTTTTTATAAATAAGATTATATAAAGTAAAATGGAGCTATATAATGCCCAGCCTTGCGTTAGAACATTTAGTAGACATCTTTGTAAGATGAAAGCATCTTTATCCTTTCTCTGGGACCCCTGCAAAGGGAGCAGGACTGCTTATCTGAGGCATGACTTCCATGGGGAATGGATGGATCCAGTTCAGAAGTTGAGGAAGATTTGCAGGAAAGTGCTGTCATGTGGGGTTTGACCTCCATTCTGCCTACTGACACCTGGGGAGGGGTCTCTTTAAAAAAGGATGAAATGTGTATATGCCAGTATGAAGGAACTAGTGCTAGTTGTTCATAAAATCCCCAACATAGTCCCAAAGTGAATGAGATCACATGGTAGAAGAAGTTCCTTTTCTACTGATTTCTTCTGCCACAGGAGCAATACGTCACGGTTACAAATGGGCAAGAAACAAAAGAAAACTAAGAAAAGAGACAAACATATTGTGGCCCTTTAAAGACTAATTTAACTGCTATAATTTAATGTGAACCTTTGTGGATAAAGTGATTGTGATCATCAAAAACTTTTATTAAAATAGAGCAGTTAATCTTTAAAGGGGCCAACACGGCTTTTGTCTCTCTGTTTTTGTCTTTGCTTCTTGCCTGTTATGCTTGCACAGACTAACATGGCTGCCACTTCAAAAACTGGCATGAAAATGTGGAAACGGTCATGTTTCTAGGGAACATACTGCAGCATTTTTAAATGTCAAAATATGTGCAGGAAAAAGGGCTGCATACTACTCCTGTGTGGGCACCAAGAGTGAAAGTCCTTTGCATAGACTCTCTGGCACCCTTTGTAGGCCTTCTCTATAGCTCATTCTCCCATACGTGTTCTATGTGTAACCTTACATGGCTGAGGCACCTAAAGACAGGAGCCAGTTTTTCCCCTGTGCAGTATTGGGCCATAACATTCAGAAGGCAATGAGGTGGGCATTAGAACCCAAGGAAGAGAAAAGTTATCTGGTGGGAACAGGTGGAAATGTTTCTGGACTTCTGTGATTGTTGGTGCGTTGGTACCAGCCAGAATCCCAGGGAGCTTCTGTTCTTTGAAGTCCTGATGAAGGCAGAAGGTCACTGATGCCTAAGTAGGCTTCATATATAAATATATAGGCAGCAGTGCAGCCTGATACAGCAAAAGAAAACAAATGGACACCTTCACGTGCTGGGGAATGGTTCCTTTTAAGGCCGGGCACCACACAGGTGGCTGTATCTCCCTCCCATTGCAGGACAACCTGAAGGGGTTTTTATAGCCTCTTCTTCCTACCATGAAACTGACAGGGAGGAATGGAAAACAGCAGGCTTTCCTTCCTCCAGGGAAAGAAAATTGTTCCATGCTGAGAGGCATGGACTCCTTCTCTGACTGGGTTAACATGTTACCACCTTGATATGAGGAGCTACTCTTAGAACAATGGGTCTGTCATCATGGGATGTGACATGCAATTGCTTTGTATCCTCATGCTATTGCTTTGTATCCTTCCACTAAGCCACAACTGTGGCATTCATGAAATAATGTATAAATTCTGCTACTGGTCAGAATGCCTGAGTAGGACTTACCCTTTTGATAATACATTTGATGGGGTTAAAATCCAAGAAGAAGAAGAGTCCATGAGAAAATGTCAGCCAAGCAGCCGTTGTACTTGTTGCTGCTATGTTGGGTTAAGCCGGTTGGCACTGTTGAACTGCCTTTGCTGCCTGACACTCCCCTGGTGCCAGCTATGGTGGCAGGAAGGTCAGTGTTTAAAAGTAAAGGGAAGGATGTTAAATCACACCATTCATGGCGAAGTCACACTTTTTATTCTGAGATGAAACTGGGCAAACTATGTGCCCCTCTCTATTAAAAAATAACAGCATTTGCCCTGAACTTTATGCCTTCCAATACACGTGTCATTTTATAGGTTGAGAATCTGCCTTGGTGGGGAGAAGAGTGATACTTATATTAATCATTCTTTAGAATGAACAAAGATTTAGCTAAAATCAAAGTAGTTGTGAAGCTAAACAATCAGTGAGCAATTGGCTGTCCGTTAGCGTGGCCTCATCACAGAAATTCAGGTGGGCAGTGCTTTATAATCTTAGCTCTGTGTTTGTTGAGTCGGTTCAGTTTCTTTCTCCATTTTTGTTTTATGAATCCATTCTTCCGCTGTAGTAATCCTCAGCCCTGCCTGTTTTGGCTCTTGCACCCATTCTAGGTTGGATCCAGTATGCAGAGAGAGTCCTCTCCAGCCTAGTAACACCGCACATCTGCACTGCAAAGTCACCGCAGCAAATCATGGGTTCCCTCATCAAGGGTTATTTTGCCAGGCAGCAGGTAACTCTTTCTGATGCTCCTCTGGGTTACGAATGGTTCTGAGGGACTGTGTGTTTTTTTAAAACAAGTTGATGTTTAAAAGTGTGCAGCTTCAGCAAACTTTGGGTGTTTCTCTAATGCTGGGCTGCAGCCCCTGGAGGCAGGGCTTGCACAGGCCCCCACATGCACAAACAATCACACACACACACACAGAGAGAAGCTTGCACAGGCCCCCACATGCACAAACACACACACACAGAGAGAGAGAGAGAGAGAGAGAGAGAGAGAATAGCAAGGGGGTATGAGTGGGGTCCAACTTTGGGATTAACTAGGAAATGGATAAAGGTTAAGGTCACACTGAATTATCACCCATAGAAGTCCTCACTTAATGAAACTTGAAATTTCTGGTGCCCCCGTTTTGGCTGTGCCCTGTAGAGTACTGTATGTAGAGTACTGTATGATCCTAATTATGCTGAACCCGTTGAATTCTATGCAATTTCCCTCTTTCCTAGTAAGTATGTTTAGTAAGCATACCCTTAAAAGAACAGAATTCTTCCAAACGTATTTTTCCTTTGGATGCCTTGGGATTTGTAGAAGTCTTGACAATACAGGGGCTGTGAATGCATATCTTTTCTTATTTCATGTATACATTGTCTTTCCATTGTAGATGGTCCCCATAGCAGCTCATATGTTTAAAAAGCATTAGAAAAATGCATTAAACCCTGTCACAAATCCCCTTTCCTATGATTTCCGAATACCCGATGGAAAATGAATAATTAAATAAAGCATTAGTAAAAATTAAAACATATTTTAAAACCAACAAGGAAATGCTTAGAAAGTAAAATATGACATTTTATAAAACTCAAATTATTACGAGTATGATTTTTCCTGAAGAGATTGCCATGGGTTTTGGCTTCATGTCTTCATTTTTTGTGTTGTGATTATCCTGCATTTTTTTTTCTCCACTAGAATCTATTTCCTGATAAAATTTTCCACATAATTGTGGCGCCATGTTATGACAAAAAACTAGAAGCCTTGCGAGAAGACTTCTATACTCCTTTGTATAATTCTCAAGATGTTGATTGTGTCTTAACATCAGGTAGGCATTTGTCTTAAATGTATTACTGTTAAATTTATAATCAGGTTCCTGCCTTTTTCTTTTCTTTTGTTTTTATACTCATGTAACAAAGGGTCACTTGCACAGTCATAATGGGATGTTGGCTAGTTCCATGCCAAAAATCTTTGCTCAAAAATATTTCAACCATTCTAGAGCACTCAAGCAATTTATTTAAAAAATCCCTTGTAAAAGAATTTGGAAGAAGGAGAAATTTCTGAGAAATTCTCATTGGTGCAGAATTCTTGTGCTTTCCTCACTTCAGAAGGTTCCAGAGAAGTGTGTGTAGATGAGTTTTTCTTGTACAAAACTTGACTACCATCACTTAAGGGTGAGATTCATTTCTGAGAAATTAACAGAGAAGTTCATGTTTTCCTGGAAGTTCAGTGAAATGCCTTGCCTTCCCCTGATGTCTTTTCCCACAGACAGGGTGGAAAATTTTGAAAGGCTGGATATGACCAGCTAGAGTTTTAAGAGGGGCTGAGACGCAGGTTAGGGTGGACTTTTCTAGTAGCATATTCTTATTGCAAAAGTAGAATGATACGAGCCACACTGGTCAAATCCTGTTGAAACGTTTGGGGTATCAATCTGGCCCAGGTTACAAGAATGGTAGATCTCTCCGTTTAAGCCTGGATTCCCCACCCCCACCTCTGGTCATATATGGAACAGGAGAAAGGGAGGTACCATGTTAGGATTGGAAGAACACCTACGTACTGTATAGCTTACTTTCCCCCAGATTTTATCCAGATACTGTTTGATAAAGTCACATTCTGATACAAAAATGGAGTCTGTCTTGGAGAAAGATGGCTGTAAGGCGTAAGCAATGGGAAGGAGGAGGGTGTCATGCCTCCTACCTTTGCACATGTCCAGTTGAAATGACTCGGGCACCACCCTGTTATTAGAAGGAATTTTTATTTATTTATTTATTTTATTTATTTAACTTATATGCCGCCCACACTACCCGAAGGTCTCTGGGCGGCTTACACCATTTAAAATACAATAAAAAGGCAAAATAAAAGGGCAAAATAATTAAAATGCAATTAAAATATATATTCTAAAAATTGCCATCAGACCCACATTTGATGTTATTTCGAGGTGGGCTAACGATTGCAAGCATTTAAAACCTGTTCCAAACATTGTAAGGCACTTTTAAATGAGCAAAAACGGACTTCGCAAAGCCATTGAAATGTATTGAGTCGGCTTCAATACATTCCAATGGAGGAAACATTGTTTCACTCAACGATGTTTCCTATGGGTTTTTTCACTTAAAGACGGCAATCCGTTCCAATTGGAATGGATTAACCGGTTTTCAATGCATTCCTATGGGAAATGGTGTTTCACAGAACGATGTTTCACACAACGTTGATTTTTTTGGAACCAATTAACATCGTTGTGTGAGGCACCACTGTACTGTGCAGTAATCTGTGTGGCAACCAGCAACCTCCCCAGTTTCACACACATCTGTTTAAGGCCACACGAAGAGGTCATCAGACAATTCCGGAGGGTTTTCAGATCAAGCAGAAGAGGGGGTATCCAGGGAAGGTCCAGACGCTTCTTATATGGACAGAGTGAAACAAACCTGGGGCCAAGCTGATGGTGTAGTTGGTGAAACTTTCTGTGAAACTTGCTGTCCAAACTCTTCAGAAGCAAAAGAGAACAAAACTTGACTACCATCACCTAAGGGTGAGATTCATTTCTGAGAAATTAACAGAGAAGTTCATGTTTTCCTGGAAGTTCAGTGAAATGCCTCACCTTTCCCTGGTGTCTTTTCCCACAGACAGGGTGGAAAATTTTGAAAGGCTGGATATGACCAGCTAGAGTTTTAAGAGGGGCTGAGACGCAGGTTAGGGTGGACTTTTCTAGTAGCATATTCTTATTGCAAAAGTAGAATGATACGAGCCACACTGGTCAAATCCTGTTGAAAAGTTTGGGATATCAATCTGGCCCAGGCTACAAGAATGGTAGATCTCTCCGTTTAAGCCTGGATTCCCCACCCCCACCTCTGGTCATATATGGAACAGGAGAAAGGGAGATACCATGTTAGGATTGGAAGAACACCTACGTATAGCTTACTTTCCCCCAGATTTTATCCAGATATTGTTTGATAAAGTCACATTCTGATACAAAAATGGAGTCTGTCTTGGAGAAAGATGGCTGTAAGGCGTAAGCAATGAGAAGGAGGAGGGTGTCATGCCTCCTACCTTTGCACATGTCCAGTTGAAATGACTCGGGCACCACCCTGTTATTAGAAGGAGTTTTTCTCAGCCAACCAGTTTGGAATCACACGAAAGGCTCTGGCTTTTCAGGTGGTTTAAAATATTGTTGTATTTTTACTGTCAGGGCATTGGAGAGATGCTTGTGGGCCCCCCCTCTCCCCCTCAAGTACTAAATCTCTTAGCTGGCCTTAAAAACTATGTGCACTTAGGACGGGGTTTCTGGATTTCTTGGACTATAAACCCCGCAATTCCTCAGAAGTTCTGCCTGACTGAAATAGACATCTAGATATAGTTCGGTAGGGAGAGAAAGCCTGAACTGAAGGCCTTTGAGGGGTTGCTAGGCCTAGCTTCACCTAGCTGCCTGTCCAGAGAGAATGTTCCCAGCTAGTACCAGTGTAGGAACAGGAAGCTTGGGTGGAGTTAGGCTTAGCTAAGCCCCAAAGCCTTCCAGGTCAGGCCTTTTCTCTCAGCTGAGTCACATTTAGGTGTCTGTAAGGTATGTTTAACTCAGTCAGAACTCCCAGAATGGGGGATTATAGGATTTATAGTTCATGAAATCCAGAAATGCCCTTCCCTAGTGTGTGCCATAATTTGCAGTGGAATGAGAAGGTGCCATTTGTTAATCATACTCTGGTAGTGGAATGACTTGGTCCTGAAAACATCCCCTCCCACACCTTACTTTATACGTGGCTGGAGCAGATCTAGATTTAATCGCACAGATTTGCTGCCAACAATATCTCATCTCATCTAAGCCATTTTCTCTAGGCCTCTACTCAGTGAGGGGCCAAGACCTGAGGGGAGGTTTTTAACTTGTAGTCCCAATATGAGATTGTGGAAGGTTCAACTGACTCTTCACACTGAATGTTTTGAAAAGTATGTGCAAATGCAGAAGAAACTCCCACAAACTGAAAGAGCAAAACTCAGCAAAATGTCATGTGTGAAACAACCCCTTACCAAGTGCTATGGAGCAACCCTGAAGGTTGTGTGTAATGCTGACTTGTGTGTTTGTGTGCAGGCAGGAGGGCATTTGCCCTGCTGAGTAAAAAGGAGGCAAAAAAAATTGGGACGGCAGAGTTTTTCCTGCTTGAATTGTTTGTTTGCTGCTGTTGCTCTGCCAGCTTGCTTTTTTCTTCCTGCCTGGCTCAGTTGTCCACTCAGCAGATGCCACCGGTGTGCCTTTCAGGCATGTATGAAGAGAGGTCAGGCCAGCCAGCAAACATGACTCTCAATTTCCCCAAAGCGCAAAGAACGTGAGCATTTATCTTGTTATCACAGAGAGGACAGCATGACTGGAACAAACAGTCATAAAAGATATCCAGGAAAGAACTAGATAAAAGAGATGGGGATGGGGAAGAAGACTCCATTCCCAGTATGTTTTGAGGACAACTCTTTCTAAGGCAATGTGAATTGTACAAATGTACAAATGCAGCTTCCATCTGCTTATCTGTAACAATAATGAGGACTGAACTACAAACGGGGGTAATAATTTTCTAAGCAAATAGGGGTGTACAGTAAATAAGTTTTTAGGCAAAAAAGAACAATCAAATTTCAACTATTCCATTAAAAAGAAAAAGAAAACAATGAACAGAAAATTGTAACATCTGACTTTTTGTTATGTGAGAAGATACATCTAGAGAAAAATTGTGGGGTTACAATATATATATATTGTTTTATTTATAGGTCGTCCCGATAAGGGGACCTAAGGTGGCTCACAATACTGTATTAAGAAGAATAGAATTAAAAACATAATAAGTGAAACATTAAAAAAAATAAACTATACTCCACTTAAAATATAATGAAATAAGTAAAAGCAAGTAAATATTAAAAACTAGTTTAACTTTAAAAAGGCATTCAGGGACTCAATCATAATACGCAAAACTATATGTCTTTTTTTTTAAAAGCCCAGTTTACTTTAATTCAAAGTTAATCTTTAAGCAAACTTATTTCCCCACAAATTTACATGGGCGGGAGGTAGATGAAATTGGGAGTGATCCAAAGTTAATCCTTAAGCAAACTTATTTCCCCACAAATTTACATGGGCGGGAGGTAGATGAAATTGGGAGTCTTCCTAGTTACTATATTCAATGAAAGAGTATTAGGATTTTTTTTAAAAAGGTGTATGCATGATTGTTATTGTTTACGTCACATATTTGTTTGTTTAATTTCTCGGAGGAACTGTTGCCCACATTTTGCTCTCCCAGCTAGAGAGGGCAAAATCTAGCCATTGTCCTGAATAAGCCTACAGCCCCACCCCGTGAGGTGTAGGTGGCTCTACAGACAGTTTAGGGCAGACTTAGCACAGTCTGCAGTCTGTGATTGGGAGGTGCCTCTGGCTCACACCCAAGTTAGGATATAAGCCCAAAGTGCCTCAATCAGCACCAATGAAGCATGTGTTTGCTGAAGCAATAGCTGCCTCTTTATGGCCAAAGGCTGCTGAGGGCAATGAGGGCAACTAACCAGTTGGCAGCTGTGTTGTTGCCCAGTACGAATGCAGGTGCTCCCTTGTCTTAACCACCCTCTCTGTCATTGAAAGATATAGGCAGAAATTCCCATTCAGCCACCACACCTCAGTTACCTGCAGCTCTGCTAGCAAATAGCCACACTGCCCCCTACTGGCTTTCCTGAGCACTGGCAGTCCAGCCTAGGTTCGTTCCTGTTTTTGCAGTGTTGACATGTGCCTTTCTGCTGGAAGGTCTTGAAACTGAGTGCGGGATTCAGAGTTAATCAGACCATGTTGAGGGAAGAAAATACTGTAGATTCTCAAGATCCAGTGGGATCCACAAGTGCTGCACTTTGGACCATTGCTATTCATAGTTGTTGTTTTAACCTAACCTAAAGTAATGCCAGATTCTCTGGTCTTATTGGAAGTAGTGAGGATGGAACCATCAGTCCTCCAGATGTTGCTCAGTTCCATCTTCCATTGTCCCAAACCAGCACAGCTAGGGGGTATGGACACTGTCCGGGAGGCTTCATTTCCCTGTTTCTCTCTCAGTAGTTGTTGTTGTTTTAACCTAAGCTAAAGTAATGCCAGATTCTCTGGTCTTATTGGAAGTAGTGAGGATGGAACCATCAGTCCTCCAGATGTTGCTCAGTTCCATCTTCCATTGTCCCAAACCAGCACAGCTAGGGGGTATGGACACTGTAGTCTAGCAACATCCGGGAGGCTTCATTTCCCTGTTTCTCTCTCACTAAGGTAAAGGTAAAGGTAAAGGTAAAGGTTCCCCTTGACAATTTTTGTCCAGTCGTGTTCGACTTTAGGGGGCGGTGCTCATCCCCGTTTCCAAACCATAGAGCCAGCATTTTTGTCCGAAGACAATCTTCCGTGGTCACATGGCCAGTGCGACTTAGACACGGAACGCTCACTACTTGTAGAAAATTCATTCTCTCTCCCATGCCTGGCAGCCTTTCTGTGTGCTTAAGAGCAGTGGATTTTTTTCTCTCTCTCTTTGCAGGTGAAGTCTTCCAAATAATGGAGCAAAGAAATGTATCCTTGAAAGAAATTCCCGAAGTGGCCTTTGATACTTTGTAAGTAGCTGTTGTGAGAAGCTTGTTTGTTTGAGTGCTTTGACTAAAAACAAATGTGTTTTTTTCCTCAGTCCCATTAAAAAGGGTTTCAAAATAGCAAAAATATCAATATAATTCATACTGACCTGTTTCTACAGGATTTAATTTTACTCTTGAGTGGAAGTTCTCTGGTAAAGTGAATTCTCCATTTCCTCTGAGTAATCCTGCTTTTTATCTCCTTTTATTTTATCAGGTTCGGTGAACAAAAGGAGAGCGAGTTAATACGGCACGATGGAAGAAGGTCAGATGGTTACTTGGAGCACATATTTAAGCATGCTGCCAAGGAACTCTTTGATACTGACGTGAAAGAACTCACATACAAAGTATTAAAGTAAGTTTTGTATCTAAACTAAGTTCATTTCAAACACTAAATGTTTATTTTTTACTCATTTTGCATGTTATCTTAATGAGTCCTTTTGCTCATTTTGCATGTTATCATAAAACAGATGTTAACATACAGCAGGGAATGATAGCCAGTTATTGTGCATGGTGTGCAACACCTGTAATGCACACAGTTGTGTTATCTGTATCTTGTATGTACTCATTAGATCAGGGTGGGGAGCTTATGGCCTTCCAAATATAGTTGGACTGCAGATCCCATCAGCCTCAGTGAGCATGGGATGATGAGAGTTGTAATCCCATTTTACTACAGAGCATTCCAGAGAGTACCCTGTCCCACACCCTTCCTGTACATTTGTCTAGCAATTAGATCAAAGCCTTCAAGCTAAGCCATCCAGAAGCTAGCTGGTGGGCAATAGTGCCATGTAGCATTAGTCTGGTCTTAGCTAGATATTAATGCATCTGGATGTATCACCGACATTGTCCTGCATTGTGTGGGATCAGTAGGAAACTGTTTATAAACAATCTGCAGAAAATGGTTGTTGTAGGTTTTTCGGGCTGTGGTTGTGTTCTTGAGGTTTTTCTTCCTAACGTTTCACCAGTCTCTGTGGCCGGACTCTTCAGAGGACAGGAGCCAGAACTCTCTCTGTGCTCTGTTGAAGATTGCTCTCCTCTGATTTCAGAAGCTAAGCAGGTTCAGACTTTGTTGGTACTTGGATGAGTGACTTCTAGGTAGTTCCAGGGATTTCCAGGTAGGACTAGAAAAAGATCCCGCCCAAGTCTCTGGAGAGCAACTACCAGTCAGAGTTGGCAGTACTGGGCTAGAAACCCAATGTTGTGTGACTTGGTATAGGGCAGATTTGTATGTTCCTTTCTATCAGGCTGAGGAGCATCACTATCATTATGTTCTGCTTCAGATGTCTTGCTTATCTTTTGTCTTTCCCATCCCCTTTTCTTTTCATACTGTGTCTTTTAGATTCCAAATCTGAGTGTCTTTCAGCTGTAGATCAGAGTACAATATTCATTTGTGTGTTTGTGTATGTGTTTTCAGAAACAAAGACTTCAAGGAGGTCACACTAGAAAAGGACGGCCAGACCGTGCTGCGCTTTGCAGCAGCTTATGGCTTCCGAAACATCCAGAACATGGTCCTGAGGATGAAAAAGGGAAAGTGTTCCTACCACTTCGTAGAAGTTTTGGCCTGTCCTGGAGGTAGCCACAAAAACATGAGATATGCCCCTCCTATTGAGCAAAAGAAGGTTGCAACTGAGTCTTTCTCAGTCTAGATGTCCTGTCATTGTGTTGTGTACCACCAGTGGCTATACTGGCAAGAGGTGGTGGAAGAGGTAGTTCAGCAGATCTGGAGGGCACCACAGTGGGGAAGAGCGTTAGACAGATATTATGATTGTGGGTCAACCCTAGTGGGTATTGTTTATATGATCAGTTTTCCAAAAAGCCCACCAAGAGCAGAGTGAATTCTGCAAATAAGATCATGCAGTATTGAGTGCCCTTTCCATTTTATTGCAAGATGGGTTTCCTGTTTGCAATAGAATATATGTTCTTTTCTGTCCCTGTGGCCTTGGGATTCTTGTTATGCGTACTGCATGTTTCCCTTGTGTCCCAGTAGTGCTGCTTTTGGACACGTAGCCATCATAACTCTGCTAGTCATAGATCAGATAATGCAATTGCTACACTTTTCACAGACAGTGGTTTTTAAATGTACTTTAAATGCTACACTGTTTTCTAATTTGTTTATATACTGCATTCCTCAGCTGCTTAAGACTGCAGTGTTCCCAAGGCAGCTTACCGTATAAAACATACATTTGACTATAAGTGTAACAAGTTCCTAAAATCAGTAAAAAGAACTGAGAAGCAGCATTGAGAGTAAAAATATATTTCAGATAAATGCCAGGGAGATAAACAGGTTTCTGAACTCTTCTTAAAAATAATAGGAGATAGGGTCAGGCATATATTGTATTTCTCTTGGGAGTGAATTCCTGAGGGTAGAGACCACCACTGTGAAGATCCTGTCTCTAGTGCCCACCAGCTTTACAGATCTTAACAGCAGGACAGCAAACAATGCCTCTGACAATGATTTTAGCACTAGAATGCATTCATAACAAGGATATGAGCTGGATAGCTCAGGGGTTTAAGTTTCTGGTTGCAGAGGCAGGGGTTGGGAGTTTGATTCCTCACTGGGCCTCCTTGATGGGATTGTAATTGATGATCCATCAGGTCCCTTCCAGGTCTGAAGTTCGATGATGATATAAGTTTATAGGTTAGGGATAGGCAAAGATGCTGTCAGATTGCCAGATGCTGTCAGACAACAGTTCCCATCAGCCCTAGTCAGCACAGCCAGTGGTAAAGAATGCTTGAAAACTATTTGGGCCATGTTAAAAAAAAACATAAAACAATTAGAAATAATGCAAGAAAATTTAAATAAAAGCCACTAGATCAAAAAAAAAATGAGCCATGGTCATTAAATCTCAAAGGCTTGGGTGAATAGCCACATTTTAACTAAGCATCTGCACAAGGCCAGTGTTAGTGTAAAGCAGGCCTCCAATATTCCAATACTGTATTTCCATATAAAAGTTACTGTGGTCACCTTTGGCAAGAGAATGGAAAATGTATAGGGCCAGTGGCCAAAGAGCCCACCCCTGGTGCCACCGTGCCAACATTTCAAGTCAAAATATGTTACCAGATTTCAGTAGCAACTCATAAAAGGCCCTTTTAAAAATGCAGAAGGTCTTTGTGAAGGATTTTCTTGGTTTACTACCTGGGATGGAAAAAGATGACCTTAGGAGGCTGCATGCAGCCCACCCCAAAATAGGGCCCACCTATTGAACTGGGCATATGGACCCAATTTATGTGGTCATTTCCTGGATTCCCTCCCTCCCTCCCCCCCCCCGCTTTGGCATAGGTGGTATATTCTGAGACTGAACATATGGGATTTTCTGCATGTAGACACAGTTTGAGTATGACACTCTCACTTTTGGTATCCAGCAATGTCAGAGGCAGCAAAGGTCCACAGGGTGTCTTGGGAAGAAAGGCGCACTCTTGCTGACATAAGGGTGACCAGAAATGGCTGCTGTTTATTCTGGCCAATTGTATTGCTCTGCCTAAGGAAGCATTTTCTCTCTCTTGGCTTTTGCCATCTACTCCTTAGGGTGCTTAAATGGGAAGGGTCAGGCTGAGATGGAAGACGGGAAACCAAACAAAGCTCTGGTCAAGCAGATGGAGGATATGTATGCCGCAGTTCCTGTCCGACTTCCTGAAACGAATGGATATGTGCAGAAGCTTTATCAGGAATGGCTGGAAGGGATGGACTCCGTGAAGGTCCAGGAATCACTGCACACAAAGTACAGCACCGAAAAACCAGCTGCCAACAGTTTGGATATCAAATGGTGACCCATCAGATTGCAAGACTTGCAGTAGGTTTGTTAGACATGCAGCCTGAACAACGCTTCTATGCAACTGGAGCCTGAGGGTACTGGTTAAATTTGTGAACAGGCTAAAGAACAGGTCCTCAACTGGGATGTTGTACATTCAGACTGTTTCTTTATTCACTGTATAGCTGGATTGTTTTATTTTATCAGAGCCTGATAGGGTATGTTATCTGAGGAACGTCTCTTGAATGTAGTGATCCTTTCAGCTTCTGATCTTGGGACAGAAGAAGCATGACAGAATCACGGCATGTTACGATGTGCATCAGTTTGAATCCTTTGGTATGTGGGTCTGTGTGCCAAAAGTCCAGTGCTGTGGATTTCATTGTTCTCAAAAAGGTTCTATGTTGACAGTTTATCTAAGGCTTTGAATCATTATCAAACGTAATAAGATGCCAAATTATTATAACAGAAATGCACCAGTGGGGTAAATTCCTACTTACTCATATAGGTATTCCACTTTACCAAGGAAGATCCCAGTAGTCTGGGTAGAACTGGGTAGAACAAATACAAAAAGTATAAATGTTGCCTTTTGTTAGTAATGAATTTCCTTATCATCAACTTTTTGTTTTCTGGGGAAAGGGAGCTGTAGCTTGTTTTCTCTTTTCGTTGTCCCGTTTTTGGCTTGTTCTTGTCCTTTTGGATGTTGGCATTCTAACTTTCCAAAGAAGGCAAGAGACAGAAATCGGCCATCCTGGGTTGAAGCCATTAATTAAGGAGGTCCAAAGGTAATGTGGCAGCTGGTGACAGTCTGGGCCAAAGGTACAGGCGGGTCTAAGAAAGTGAGATTAAATGGTTCAGCCAAGCCAAAACCAGCATATCAGAGGCTCAAGGCTGACCTGACCTAGGACATTAGTATACTTTACTACATTCCAGCCTGCCTGATGCCAAAGTCCAGTGTGACACTGAGGCAGTGTCACTTTCCACTGATGTTAAATCTATTCATTGGATTTTAAAGTGGTTGGTTTTTTTGGGGGTGGGGTGGGGTTGGAGGTATCTAGGTTCTAATCTGTGTGGCACATTCTGTATGTATTTCCTTGTTATAAGGAAAATTTATGGGGCAACCCCAGTAATGGTTCCCACTGAGCTTTCTTGATGTGACTAAAGCTGCAATCCTACATATACTTACCTGGGAGCAATTCTCATCAAACTTCTGATGATAAAAAGAATTACATGATAAGTAACAAAGAGCAATCTATCAAGCACTTCTAGTGTGCAGCCCCTAGTGTGCAGTTTGTGTCTTTCAAAAATGTGCGAGGCTCCACCACATGCTTCTTGAAATGAATGAAAGTTGTACAGGAGCAGCACCTGATGGATCAGCAAAGAGATGTGGGGACAAGGACATAGCGAAGTAACCTGGCATTTGACCTGAAGCTATTTCAGCTTCATCTCCGTATGCAGTACAGAGGAGGTGTGTGTGTTTGTGTACACACACTCTCTCTCTCTCTCAAATGATGACTTAAACTAGATAATAGGAGCAGACACATACTGACATCTACCTCTGTGCTAGGAAAGGAACTCAGGTCAGCTGGGGTAATCCTGAGCATGCTGCTGCATTTAAGTCCAAATGGTACTTCCACACAACACTTCTCCCAGGGCATTTCAGTATTTCTTGCAGTCCCTGCACACAGAAGCAATACTTGAGCTCAGCCTGATGCCCTCCGACTTCACAGAGTAAAGCAGCTTTCCCTGAGCTTTTTCCTTGTATCCTGTCTGCTGGCTTGCAGTTTAACACATCTGAAAGGCAGAAGATTGTGAATTATTGCTTCCACCTCTGGGACACCAAGGTGGGCAATTTCACAACTGCCTTCCTGTTTCGTCTTGAAAGTCTCCTGGAAGAGCTACGGATTCCCTCTTCTTAGGAAGGTTTTTTACATACCAAGCCAGGCAACTGAAGCAAGAGAAGTTTCCATGTAAATGTATCTAAAGACATCCACATCACTGTGGTGAGGCAAAAGCACTGAAGCACATTCTTTGGCTTCTTCATGCTATGGCAGCAGTCTTATTTATTTTTTAAACTCTGTTTTCATGGGTCATTAGGAGGTTCTAGAAATGTTTACGATGTGACAATTCTAGCCTTATGATGGCATTGTATTTTTGAGGGTTTGTATATACATGGAGATGTAATATTGTTTTAAATTCATTTTTGTATTTTGCTTCCACTTTTCTGTAGAGGTTTTAAGTGGGTTCGGAGGGGGAAATGGTCTGTGTGTGCCTGTTTGTATGCAATAGGACTTGAAAATATGCTCTTTATTTGGTACAGATTTTGAACTTAGTGGTACAGGCCCAGTCTTCAAGGGTCTCCACCAGCACAAGGGCCATGGACTGGGTTGCCTGCCCTTGGCTGTGGGAGGAAGAGAGCTGCTTTTTCATATCAGAATGGAAGTTTCCAAATGTAATTATTTTGAAAAGGCCCATCTGTGTTCTCAAGCACCTGTTGCTAGAGGTTAAAATCGCATGCTACCACACTGCACCAATTGTGTCCAAGTTGGTAAATAGGTGAAGGAACGAGATGATAAACCTATAAAACTGGTACTTCATCCCACTCTTCTAGTAGTTTGTAACTGACTGAGCTGAACATTTTGATCATGTAAAACTCTTGTGTTCAGAGTGTTACTAGCCTCTGTGCTGATTGATTGATACATGTAATGTGGTGCTGCCTGTAGATCAGTCAACAAGGTGGATCATTCTTCACAAGCTTTCAGGAGCTTCTGACTTGCAGCTCTGATTTGAAAGCCACCCTCTCAGCATTTTATTTGGCCCTCTCTATCCACAGTAATGATGATGATGATGTGCCATCAAGTCCATTCTGACTTACGCCAACCCTTTCCAGGCCTTCATAGGGATAGATAATCAAAGTGGTTTATATGTTCCCTTCTTCTAGGGGCACTCTGGGATTGTGCAGCTTGCCCAAAGCTACACAGGCTGGCTCTACTATTAGGAAGCACAGTGAAGAATCAGACTCATGATCACTTGGCCCTAAAACCAGATATATGACTTACTGAGTTACCCATCCACACTGTAGGGTCTACGTAAACGGAACTGGATCAGGCCAACTCCTTTACATATCTTGAACCTCATGGAGCTGGCAACAGGTCTTCATGTGCTCCATTCCTATGGAAATCAGTGAAGCTTCCATTGTGCTGTCAAGGTAGAGTTCTGCATACTCTGCATTCAGCATGTTCACTGTCCTTCGTGTGTTAGTGGCATCTTCTAGGGGCAGCAGTAGCCATATAAGTATGGGGTAGTGGACAGGGTTGCAAGGGAATCTGAAGTCTTATTGTTCAGATTTGTTCTTAATATCTTGAATATTCCTGTAACCAAGGCAGACATAACTATATTGGAACAAAAGAACCTGCCTTGTGTGGGATCAGGTTACTGGTCCATCTTATCAATTGCTATTCACACTGCAGTTCAGTAGCTCTCCGGGATTTTAGACAAGCAGGTGTCTTTTCTTTATCCACTTGGAGACAGCAGGGGTTAAATCTGGAAGCTTCTGAATGCAAAATAGGTGCTCTGCCACTGAGGTACAGTGCTTTATATAATCATCTCAGTCCTGCAATAAAAAAGGTATATTTTCCCAATGGAGGTTGGTGACTCCAATGTCATGGGGATAGTGAATCCACTTCAGGTTTCATCTCAGATAGTAAAGGAGTTGTGCTGGGTACTGAACCTATTTCACAAATAGGTTTCATTATCTTAGGTAGCTCCTGGGACATTTAAGAGTAAAGACCAGACTGGATTCACCTATTCCACAAAATACAGCCTGCAAATATGTTAAATGTAATACATAAGTCAGTGTATTAAGGAACAATTCACTGAGTAATTCAACACCATAGTCCCACTAGTAATAGCAATAACTACACAATTGGGAGGAAGCAGTTTGTATGTCCTTCCTTAAAACAAGACAGTCTGCCTAAGTTATATTAGGATGCATCTAGACTAAAGGCATATTGTCATCTAAAATTAAATTGGGCCTATGGGACCAAACCACTTGTTTCACTTGTTTTTGTGATCCTAGCAGTACAAAGTCCTTGATTTCAGAATTGCTATGTACAGTATTGCAAAACAACAACAACAAACCTCTATAATCAACTAAGTGTGCAGTGCATTGACCATGACTTTTAGTTCACTCTGACAAAATCTTTGTGAAAATACTGAATTCTATCCACTAGATCCATATCTATAACATCTTGTCTTCTGGAATTCTGGTTTGTGCTTGTACTTTACACCGCTGCTGACTTCCTTTTCCAGCAAACATACTGCTTATAAGGAAATCCAGCCTTAATGCTTTCAATCTCATTTGAATGTTCTTTTGGAACAATTCATTTCCGGATATACAGGATGTGAGGAATGTACCGATTTGTGTGAACATGGTGGACATGTGCTTTTAAAAATGCTGTTGTTGTTTAGCAAAATGAAGCAGATTAAAATGTTCTCTAGCATCCTGTTCCCATAAAGTCACTAAAAGTGCAAACATATTGAAACTTAAATCTTAGAGAAAAAGAGGTCCAGGTGCTGCAACCACTTGTGTGACCCCAGGTTCTCTCTGCCCCTACGTGTGGATGGGCTTATCTGACAGCTGGGCTGTAACAGGTTGGAGTGCACAGCAGCAACTTGGTTCCCTGGCTCACTACAATATGGCTGGGTAACCCCCAGCCTCCCCCTAGAAGCAAGACGTACCAGTGGAAATATTGTAAAGGATTTAAAAAAGTTATTAAGCCCATTTGGATCATGAGGAAGGGTCTAGCAAACAAGGGGGCTGGATTGGTTGGAGGCCTTGGAGTGGAGGACAATATGGAGGAAGCATCCTGACAAATGTGGGGGTGGATGCTGTGCCTGTTATTCGGAAGCAAGTCTCATTTACCTGAATGGGACTTTCCTTCTGGGAAATATGCCGAGGATTGTGGCCTTAAATGCATTCATTACAGCCAATGGGATTTAGAAGTAGGGCCTGATTAATGTGAATTCTCCTTAATGATGATACTGCTTACACGTATGCTACTTTAGATGTTTAGTAGAGAGAATGCCTGTACTGTGTATTATCTGTCTTCCTGGGGACTTTAATGGGGAAGTACTGTGTTAAGACATTTTGAACGCATTCTGCAAGTACTTCAAAGCCAAAGGGGATTGTAAAATTTTACTACTATACACATAAGTGAATACAGTCTTTGACTGTGATATATGAAATGTTTGCATTCATCTCTGCCTTTTCAACATGATTGTACCTGGACGATACTTAGTAGCCTGAGCTATTTCCACTGGAGTACAACTCTAAATGGATCAAAAAATTAAAAAAATTCCCTGTTGTAATTGTTGTGAGTCCATTTTTTAAGTTCCATCTAAAAACTAGTATTCTAAGACATTGGTTTACCTCAGGAAGAAAACCCAAGTCATATACCACATGTTAAAATTTTAAAATAAATAGTTGACCCCTGATGGTGCTTGTTCAAAGTACAGCAAGCCCCACCAGACAATTTGTACTTAAGATATGT